GACACACACAGAAAGGTTTTTGAAAGGTGGGATTATAGGATTTGTGAAGCTGATCTTAATGAACTGTGTGTAAATGATCAGAATGTATTCAGGTTCTGATGCATGAATTTTTAGAATAGTTTCACATGTGGTCAGATTGCTTGTATTTGTGTGTGGATTGAAGTGTGTGCTAATGAAAAGTTGCACACAAATTACTGCACAGATTTGTAAGTGTTCGTTTTCTCTTGTGGATCATATTGTACACATTGGCAACCCTTATCAGGTAAATCTCTCTCCATATCATTAGGCTATGGAAGGCATGCTCACAATAACACAAACTAATAGAGGCAGCAGATACGAATTAGTGTATCCCATTCAAATGGACCCATATTCAAAAGTATTTTGCAGGATTAGTGCCTTTCTGTAAAGTGTTCCCCATAATCAGTACCACCTTTTACTGTATTAGGAAGTAGCGCTACAAAAACAAAGTGAGGGAAAAATAAAGTCAAACATTTAGATTATTGAAATATAGTAAATAAACACAGTTTAATCATGAGTACATACGCATGCTAAAAGGTTTCAATTTACATACAAAACTGCTTTAAATGAGTTTCTAACTACTGTTGTATAACTAGAGTTTGCAGATTAGTCACACAAGTCCATCTTGTTTTGTGTCCCATGATTTTTATCAGAGACTTTGGCAGTGAGCTGGTTATAAATACAAATATTAACTAAGCTTATATATTTCAGAATTTACTGATTATAGGCTTGTTTTCTTTTTAAAAAACCTTTAATGTCATTGGGAGTCACTTTCAAAATCGATATTGTTTTAGCTGGTTGGATTCTTGAAGACAGTTTCATGTGTGATGAGGATGTTAATGTTGGATGAACTGAAGTAAGCTGATTTGGTCAGGATCATGTAAGCCTGGATTAGTCAGACTAGATCTGAAGAATGGAGACCTGGAGGAGATACACGGTCGCCTTACTTCAAAACTTTAGCTCTCCGCCTCTTATTTACAATCACTCTGTATTCTGACCAAAGCTCATTAACTCAGAAGGAGGAGGCGGGGTCTGTTTTACCTTTAAACACTTTCATGGGTTTAGTTTTGTTTGGTTGTTTAAATCCTTCGTGTCCACTGGATAAAAGCTGCGTGAATACTGGCCCAGGCTTATTTTTCTGATGTCTCTGCTGTGACACTCCATCATCATCATCCTCATCCAGGATGGGTTCAGACCGTGGGTTATATTCACATCATCTCCACCAACATTTCCTGTACTGCCCACACACATTGTTACATATGTACATTGTTCTTGTAACAGTATTGCAGCTTTCTGTACATATACAATGAATACACTGAGATCAGATTTAATGTGAATTAAAGTTTTGAACTGTGATTAAAAATGTCGTACTGATGTGTGACACAGGAATGTTTAGTCATGTCCCATCAGGTCTCCCCAGTGGACTAAAGGACAAATCTGTGTGTAAAATCCACTTTCAGTAAAGGCCCCACAGTAACAGACCTGACAAAGATAAAAACACCTCAATTGTAGCTTCCACTGTGGAAACACATGGTTGTCATGCTTCTCAGTCACTTCCTCAGCCTCACCTTGAACTGGCTTAAGGTTTAAAGGTTGGCCAGTGTGCTGACAGCTGATTCGAGTTTCCTGTTGGTGAATGGTGGAGACATGTCCAACATCAACTGACAAAAACATTACAGCTTAAAGTTATTTACAACTTTGCACTTTCAGTACTGTGACTTCCTACATTGCTTCACTGTTCTGTTGCTATCATTATTTCTTTCCAGTAGAAGCAAGCAGCTGCTTCCTGGCTGCTTTGTTTTTTAGCCTTTAAAGGCCCAATGATTGTGAACGCTCAAGTGACACCAGTGCCACCTAGTGGTCGGTGGAAAAGCCAAACTTTCACTGTAAAGTCTTTGTTCACGACTCCATGATTTGTTCCATTTGAAGGGTGAGATGTGTGCACTAACATTTGAAATGTTAATGAAAGGTTTCTGAATGGCCCTCTCTCTGCAGTATTTATGTATTTTGACCAATCACAGTACAGGGGAGTTCCTTTCCTAGGTCTAGAGCCTAGAGACAGAAATGGGACTCGTAAAAGTGTAAAAAACCCAAACTCACGTGTGTGTAATACTAACCAGATAAAGAGTAAGACGTGTTTCGCAGGAAATAGGACAAATAAAGATTGCTCCTTCATGTGAGCCCTGCCTTAAAGTAGTTTGTCAGACTCGAGTCACAATCAAGCCGAGATTTAAAACTGATGCTTTTCATTCTTCATGATCTACTAAACACAGCTAACTTTGGCCTACAGACTATTACATCATCAACATCCCACAGTAAAAAAATACCTTAGAATTTATTGTTTGAATCTACCCAAGAGTCTTTTTTAATGCAGATTTAATTTCATATGATGGCTCCTGGTGACTTTACAGCGTGATGTGGCAGGTATCAATCATCTGTAGAAACTAACTACAGGCTACAGAGGTTCACGCAGCCTAGGATGCTTTTAGGTCACTTGTCAGAGTAGCATCAGTGTTACACATCTGATTTGAAGAACGCACTGTCATCAGCTCTGTGCAAGTACATTTCCCAGCATGAATGGAAACAAATGCATCAATCATTTAAAACAATCAGGTTTAGCTGGCTATTACATGCAAAGACTTCAGTGTGGTCCTGCACTCTGGCTACAAACGGTTGTTCCAGCACAATCCACATAACCAACCACCAGAGTTTCAAGATTTCAGCTGAGAAGGATGGCAGCTAGAAATCGTTCCCTGCTTTGTTCCTTCCAGGTTGACACAAGGGATCAGCATCAGGCAAGTGATTAATACAATAACAAAGAAGTATACACATAGACTTGTAAAGATTTGGTGTAACCTGTTTACTTGAACAATATTATAAAATCAAACATTTTCAAACACTTAAATATTTCATTATGTGGCCAAAAACTGGAAAAAAGCAAGATTAAGATTGTAAGATTAAGGAAAAAATACCATATCATTATTTGAATTGTGATGGACAAATATAGCATGGCCAAAGGATCCAATGATGCCCTTTAAAGCTGCATCCTCTGAGGACTCTTCTATGTTACAGTAAGACGAGGAAAAGCAGCAGATTTGCATCTCCTACCTTAAACTATCAGCAGACTCTGAACCCTGTTGTGCTGTGAAGTGCAGTGTCAGTAAGGGTTTGATTTTACGCTATATTTTCATCAATAAGAATTCTGTAGTTTTGTTATACGTCATGCACAAATAAGACACAAATACTTCAGTTAATTTTGCCCAAAGGCTTCATCATCGCACAGGCTGATGGAGCGGAAGTCCATAAGTGTTACTGGAATAAACGGTTCAGCGGCACATACTTAAACACAGTAATATATACGAGAGTAGTGGTAAATGGAAAAGCCCTCCGTGACATTTCTGTGGAGGGAAAGTGCGCCCTACGTTGTGAGTATATATCATGGCACAGAAAACAACAAAAGGCAGAATCTAAGTGTACACACAAAATACTTTAAAGTCAGCTGCTGGTATTGTGCCGGTTCCCAGAATCTCACATATCTCTCACAGAAAGCAACAATGAGTGTACTGCTCCTTCAACCAGTTCATAGTTTGAATGTAGCATCGGCTGCAAAGGTTGCATGCCAAGGTTGCAGAAGCTTCCACAGCTCAGGTAGACCTGCTGTTTGATTCACCGAACATCTGATCACTTATAAACGAACAGCAACCATCTCCATGCTGAAGCTACTTCCTTTATGACTTGAAAGGAAAGATCTGAATTAGATTTCATTAGTCTTTTGCTCTTTGTCTAAAAAAAGAAATTTAAACTGCAGACTACTCTTGGCTTTAATACAGTCTATGCCAGGGGTGTCGAACTCCAGGCCTCGAGGGCGGGGGTCCTGCAGGTTTTAGATCTCACCCTGGGTCAACACACCTGAATCAGATGATTACTTCATTAGCAGGCATCTGGAGAACTTCAGGACATGTTGAGGAGGTCATTTAGCCATTTGAATCAGCTGTGTTGGATCAAGGAGACATCTGAAAGCTGCAGGACACCGGCCCTCGAGGCCTGGAGTTCAACACCTGTGGTCTATGCTGTAGTGTGCGCGTCTTGAGTAGCTATAGCTCACCAGTGGTGTTTGCTACTAGCTCGGATCTCCTGCAGGCGACACAAACATTCACATTAGCTCCCTGTTCCACTGAGTGAGCCGGTACGGTGTCCTGGATACAAGCTCAAAGTCACAGGTCAGTACCATCACAGAGTCTAAACCAGGGGTGGGGACCTCCAGGCCTTGAGAGCTGGTGTCCTGCAGGTTTTAGATCTCACCCTGGGTCAGCACACCTGAGTCAGATGATTGGTTCATTACCAGCCTCTGAACAACTTCAAGACATGTTGAGGTCATTTAAATCAGCTGTGTTGGAACAAAGGTTAAAGTCAAGCAAATGTACATGGCCAAGCTTCAATTGAGTTCAAACTGAGCGGGGCCATACGGCAGCTTTAAATTTGCCCCCCCCCCACAATGAACACGGTCAGAAGAGCTAAACATTAGGAGGCACACTAAAACTGGCCAGTGGATGCAGGAGCAAACTGTCGGTGGTGCTGTTCAGTAAGACTTCTGTTCAGAGTTTATTCCTGCTCCTCGCTGTGTTTAAGAGACCCAAAGATATTTCTGCTTCACCTAAAGTGTCTCAGTGAGGCTCTCTTCATAAACGCTGCATCTGTCCTCTCTAAGATTTGCTGTTCTACTCACCAACACAACGCACTGGAGGCAATCGGCTGGTCTCAAATCAAGTGACTGTCTCATGGGAAGACTAGTCCCACAAACAAGAAGAAAACAGAAACGGGTACCTGCTGGCGATTTCCCCTTTCACTTAAGCATTCTCTGAACATTCATGAGCTCTTCTGGTGTAGATTACAGCAGTTATCAGTGAGATCAACTGAACACAGATGCAGATCTGTAGTGCTGGACATAAAGTGCCACAAGTATCGTTTCTCTGAATATGAAATTAATGTGCAATACAATTCTTAAGTTACGCTGCAGAACACAGTCTCAGTCCCACCGCTGTGACGTCAGAGGGCTGGAGGAAGTGTGATACAGCTGGAGTACTGGTGGTGCCAGCAAATTCTCTCCACCTGTGGAAGACGCACACCAAATAAACAGACGATCAGGAGACTACAGCGATCACTGCACGTGTGTGCATGCTGCCTGGTATAGCTCAACAATTAGAGTTAACTGTAACACGGTGGTTGTTGCCTCTGTTTTAAAACTACCAAAAACTAAACTTCTTTCCAACACTGGCTCTGTGGACACTGGAGACACTGTTATGCTGTCAGTCAGATCCCCCAAAACAGGGCTGCCCAATCCCAGTCCTTGAGAGCTACTATCCTGCAGCTTTTAGATGCATCCCTACTCCAACACAGCTGAATCAAATGGTTTGATTACCTCTTCAGCATGCCATTATGTTTGGCAAAGGCCTGATAACAAGCCATTCATTTGATTCAGGTGTGTGGGAACAAGGATGCATCTAAAAGCTGCAGGACGGTAGCTCTCGAGGACCGGGATTGGGCACCCCTGCCCCAAAACAAAAATCAAGCCAGCAGTGTTTAGGAAGCATAGTCTTTAGTCTGTATGGGTCTTTTATTTTGAAAAGTTAAGCGCTTCTCTTTGTTGTTCCAGTGTCTAACTCATACTCTCCTCATGTGCTCTGTGCAGCCTGACGTGGCTTCCATGAAAAACAAAAGACCCGATGCCGTTTTCACCAGCAGAGGCACATCTGGTGGAACTGCTAGTGACAGTCTCACCAGTGTCCTGTTCAGCTCTTCTACAACTGAACATGTTTCCATCTCAGAGGTGAAAGTTAAACCAAAGGCCTTGTCAATGCTACCACTGCTTATCACTGTTGCATAATGTTGGCAGTTATTTGGGAATTTAATTTGAAGTTCCAATCTACATGAATGAGCAGAATGCTGGTACTTTTACTTCTGTCAGTGGGACATAAAAACTCCATGTTGAGAAGTACAGTCAAATCTGATAAAGACACTTAAAAAGTTAATGTCTTTTCCCCAAAGTAAGATTTAAAATGCTTCTTATAGTGCATGCTTTTATTTTACTTTGCTTTATTCAAGACCGGGCATGAGCCAAACATGTCACAGATCCGTATCTCGTCAAACATGAAAGTTTGCTAAACCTGCTTTGTGAAACAGGCGCATGTACTTTGCCATCTCACAGTAAACATAAGCTGATGATGTTCTTCCTTTGTTGGAGTTTATTCCTCCCTTTGGAGGCCTTCCTACTTGGGGGGGGGGATACATGGTCTCAATAGCAAATGTTTAAACGTATGTCTCACACAAAACAACATAACATTTGGAAGAATATGAAACTGGTCAAGTTGGTCACCCATTGTATATATAACTATGCTAAATTGTATCTATCACTGTAGCTATGTTTATACATGTTCTCCTTGTTTATTGTGTGTGGGATTCAATAGAAGGTTGAGCATGGGGTAGGGATTAATAGGTATGTTATACTTCTTCCATTTCAGACTTAATAATTGTCATTTCATGTCATTTAGACTTATTTTATTTGTTTTGTTTTATCTGAGCACATACGTGTGTGTATTTACATATATATTCATTTTTGTAAATGCAAGTATGTGTACTTGTGTGTATATATTGTTTTTTTTCTGTATATGTCTGAAATAAAGATACAATACATAAGGCACATTAAATACAGAGTAACACACTTTTGGTTCACATAAAAACATGTAGTTAAATCACCAATAGGCTGCAAGTAGGGCTGGGTTTAACGATTTCAGCTTGAATAAAGTGATATTGATTCATTAAATCCTGAATCAATTTTTAAATATAAATGTTTAATTACAAACGACAGAATCTCAGCTTAAAGCTCATTAAAGTATTTAAACAACCAGCAAACAGCTAAAACAGTAAATGAGAGCAGGTAAACGGACTCCACACAAAGAAGCACGCAGCGTGGATCGTTCACCCGACTGTTTTATCCTCAGTTACTTTGACAGAAAGCCATCTGCTGTGATGCTCACACCTCTGATCAAGTCTTTGTTTTTATACATAGATATAAAAATGTAGATATGTACTGATGAGCAGAATTTTAATATTTCCGACTGTGTCAAAATCTAATCAGTTATAAAATCAGTGAGGATTCTCAGGCCCAGCTGCTAACGCAGGCCTTCAGAGCCACTTTCAGCAGGCGCTTGCACACCTGCCTTTTGAGGGTAATTCAGTGTCCATGAACAAGTCAATTACTTACTGAATGCCATACAAGAGACAGAAAAACAGCTCTATGCAGACGGGTAGTTGTTCTTATGTGGAATGTAAACCTTTTCTACATGAATCAATCTATGCAACAAAAATGTCTGCGTGCTCTTTAACGCAGGGCTTTGTGTTGCTTTAACTCTTTAAAATGATCCAAATGTGTAGTAATGAATTTGAGGCCACTTTCTCCTCCTTTAGAAATGCTATGATTTTGTCAGTGTGCTTTGGATCATCACGCTGGAGTATTCCCGGGAGAGCTTTTGTCAGATTATTTTGGTACATCCACTGGTGTAATTTATATCTGTCATCTCCCCCTGAGTACTTCGACTGTGGAGACGACACATTCATTGTTAACATCAGTAAGTTCATCTTGGTCTGTTCTGATCAAAGAATGCACTCCCAGTATTTATTCGATTTCATCTCATGTTCTTTAACTAATATTCATTTTTTAATAAACTGAAAAGTTTATTAAAGTTGTTTTTTTTCCTTTGGATGCAATCCATAGTCGCTGTTATGCAACCTCTTCCTCACTGAATGAACTCTCAGTAATAACTGCTCCACTGAGCATTTGCCCATGTATGTTTTCAGGGCTAGACTGTGGAGGTAGCACGGGCTTATTTTAGAAAAGCCTCTTCAGCTTGTTGTACGTCTCCTCCTGATTACTGCTGCAGCTCGGTGGTTTGTTTTGGCTGGTCACACACAGCACAGACTGGCAGATACACTCAGGAAGTAGATCCACTAATCCCAATTCAATCATTCAATCAGCAATCATCCTAAAGGCAGCTCCCAACATGAGGACATAACCAATGTAAAATTATTAAGTAAAGCAAACTTCAGTTCCATCATTTTTTCACGTAGTCTCGAGTTATTCATTATCTTCACACATTGTAAACTCCGTCAGCTTTCCCGACTTGGATTGAAATGCTTGGATGTGAGCATGTGCAGTAGCCCAATTCAGGCCCAATGTTGATCTCAGAGTAGAAGACAGAAACCCCTCAGTGCAGCATAAAATGGTAAATAGCCTGTATTTGTATAGCGCTTTACTAGTCGATAAGGACCCCAAAGCGCTTTACACTACATCCAGTCATCCACACACTGGTGATGGCAGCTACATTGTAGCCACAGCCACCCTGGGGCGCACTGACAGAGGCGAGGCTGCCGGACACTGGCGCCACCGGGCCCTCTGACCACCACCAGTAGGCAACGGGTGAAGAATCTCGCCCAAGGACACAACGACCGAGACTGTCGGAGCCGGGGCTCGCACCGGCAACCTTCCAATTACAAGGCGAACTCCCAACTCTTGAGCCACGATCGGCCCCTAAAAAACATAAAGAGCCTCAATGCTGGATTTGAACTTTTTTTTTAAGCTTGTAATAAGTGTGTGACACAATGCACAGCTGACATCATCTAATGTTTGTTAAAGTTAGTTTTCCAGCACTAACTATCTCAGCTAATCGGTGCTTCACAGTTAGACTTAACTATGAGGGAACATTAGGGTCACATTGAGAATAAAGTCAGAAGCTTGAGATTAATCTTGAAATGCTATTTTGGTGCCTGTGACAGCAACGACTTTAATCTCCACTTTTTGAATAATACATATATTTTTACTCTTAACGGGGCCCTAATACTCCGTCACATTTGGGAGAGAAACTTGTACTGAATGTGTCGAGGCTTTGTTGCACAGCCAACAGCAGCTTTTCTTACCACTGGTCACAGAATGCCTCAAACATATTTTAGTTATTTCAACTAACAGTGAAAGTAAACAAGTTGGCGCCCTTTTTCTATTTTGCTCGAGCTGACAGAGTGAATGTAGTTTGATCCTCCAGGTGTTTGCAGAAGGTAAACTCCATACAAATAACCACAGCTCTGGCTGTGTTAACTTAGCTGCAGAGTTCACGCTCAGTGAAGTTTGTTAAAGCTGTGTGAAGCCTAGCAGACAGCTGATAGTGGGTCTTACTCACAACACACAATAACTCAATCTTGACAGGGAAATAAGTGGTTCCACCCAGAGCAGGTCTGAGCTTCGAGCTGGTTTCACACCACTCAGAGAATGTTTTTTTGTGTTTCACTTGGTAACAGGGTTAAAATAGATCCAGGATGTCCCTGCTGTGTTTGTGTTGGATGCCCAATGACAGCACTGAGCATTTTTCTCTTCTTCTTACAGTAGTTGATCAACTTACACAGACTCGTAGTGTTCAACTGTGTAACAACTGCTAGCCCCTACACTAAAACGCCTTCAGTAAACAGCTGTATTATTCTGAAGCCTGGACAAAAAAACAACACAATGTTACAGAATAAAATTAAATCTGATAACTTTGACAAATATAACAAGAATAAATGGACTCACCTTTAATTTGTCTTTACCTTGTCTGTGACAGACACAGGCTTGTCTTTGTGTTCCTTAGTGTCTCTCGTGTCATCAGTGTCCTTTCCTGTCTGGTCATTCTCTTCCTCAACACCTAGCATCACACTCTGTCGAACACTGACAGAGATCACCAACGCCTGAATGATGCCATAGATCAGGGCAAACTGCAGGAGATACTCCTGGATCAACCAGAGTAATCCTGCCATTCCAACTGTGGCGACAAAAAACATAGCCATACCATGAAACCACAGTCTCAGTGCTCCCTGGACACCCAGCACCTCCAGGATAAGCTTGGCAGGAGGTGACACAGTCCACAGGAAGCCAACAACAAACAGGTCAAACAAGTGGCGTAGGAAGTTAAAGCAGATCTCGTAGTGCTCTGGTACAATCTCCACGTTCCAGCTGTGTGCAAACAGTCGAAAAGGAGAAGTCAGCTGAGAGGGAGAAGGGGTGGGGGACGGAGGGGGGGTTCCATAATCAGAAAAGTCTCCATCAGTATCACGTTCCCGTGGATCTCCAGTCCCACCGTCACGTTTCCTGTGTCGTAGTCCACTTAGCTCAGTTTTCCTTGGCCACAGATAAGAAGTTGGAAGATATCTATCCCACCACCTAGGCACCAGTACAGTTTCAGCCTCTGGCTTCCCTGCCGCCAGATCTTCAATTTTAATGGGCTGAAGCTTCTCCTGTGCCTCCCAGTACTCCTCTACTGGACTGCTTAGTTCATGCTGACGTCCCCATGAGCCCCAGATCCAAGCCTTGATGCCCCAACCACCACTGCCACGCAGCTTTTGGCGCTCAGCTGTCAAAACGTTAGTGTCCTTTGACCTGGCACCGCTGCTGCCCCATGAGCGGACCCACCCCCACGCTTTGCCCACCACAGCTGCCATGTCTGCTCGCGGAGCTTGTGAGAGCTCGGTTAAAATCGTCAGTTCTCACGTCCTGTTGGCTTCCCGAGCTTCAGAGAAAAGCATGCACTCGCTGTCGGTGCAGTTATGAAGTTGAAATACTTGTTCAGGAGGCCTCAGGCCTGGGCAACGTGACGTCCTCGGGTCATCGCCACACCTGTGGGTGTGTTCGAGCAGTTCAGCAGACAAAAGGTTACACTCGCCCCCACCCTACATTACTTACAGGGCTCTGCTCTTAACGAGACTCCACCATTTAACGTCCAGAAGAACAGTCTACATGTTTGGTTTCAGCTGACAACCTTCGAGGGTGCTTTCAGTATTTCAGCGACACCTTAGCACAGAGGAACTGGGAAAGTTGACGAAAGCTTCAGCTCAGCGTTAGCCAACAGTTAGCTTATTCTTTGGCCAGCCCTTCCCAACAAAAAAACAAAACAAACTTTTTTCAGCCTCTCGAAACGCATTTGTTAACTCCTCAAACAAGTAGAAAGGTTGGTTTACGCGTGCAGTCCGGTATCCAGCTCCACGTCAACATCGTGCAGCTTTGCTAACACAGCGGTCAGCTGCCCTACAGGTTACTCACCACTGAGCGAGCTGTTTAAAGTTTACCTCACATATGATTTTTCGGTGTGAATAAACCTGTCAGTGATAAAAGTCAGTAGCTAAAAGCTCACCTTCGCCGCTGTTAGCTGCTTTGTCAGAACCCAGCTAGCGCTACTCGTTAGCATGAGGTAACTCGATAAACAGACTAGTTGCTCTGCTTCAGGACGTCGTGCCTCAAATGTCCACTGTGGAGAGAAAGGTCCGTGTCCACTTAAAGCTAAGGGAAGGCAGGTACCACTAAGAGCACTCCTAGCAAGCACAAAAAGGTCGCCTGAACGGTTTCCCCGCTCATTACGAGAACAAAGACGACGAACTACCGGGTCGCTTTCAGCCTTCAAAATAAAACCATGGTTACCGTCAGAAGGTCAGCATCACGTGAGACTCGTCCTCTTCCGTGATGTTGCCAACGTGTAAATTAGCTTTGCACGTCAGTCAATTTCACGGAGGCAGGTGTTTGTAAAACATAGCAAACTACACAATTTCTCAGGTTCTGGACACACCCGATTTTATATCAGTTCAGCGTAGAAATACGTGACCAAGCCGCTTTCAGCTCAGCCGTTTATTCCTTTGCATGAGATCGTTTAATGATGTTGGATCATTTTGCCACATCACTAACATTTAATTCCAGTTTAGCCATGTGCAGCACTTTAATACAGCATTCAGTCACCCATCAGTAAGGTTTCACACATTTATATAAGTAAAATGTTGCACTGATGTGTAAGACAGTAAACCCAAAAGCTGCTTGGGGATTATACAGTTACAACCATCTGATCAGTGCATGAGAAGAACTTATGGCAAAACTGTCACCCACTGAGATTAGCTTCCAAAGCACACTGCTCTGAGTTTACTGTGATCAACCCACTGAAGAAAATCGCCATGGTCGTGTGTGGTCAACCTTTATTGTCCTTAAATACAGTGGTTTAAAAACAAAACAAAAACCACATTCAACATTCACACAGATGAAGACACGTTGCTTAAAGCAATGGAAGACGTGCACTGCTCCAGCTTGATGCTTCCATCAGATGACAGACGAGGCTCTTCAGTGTTGGGAGTGCCACCTCTGCAGTTACACCTGTCAAAGGACAAAAATGAGTGAGACATGTAAGGGGGTGGGGGAACTCATTGTCACAGAGTGTAGTACATCTCCAACTTACACACTGCATCTCATACTGCAGCAATGATCATTTGAATAATCCACCTACTCACACCAACCTGCTTTCTCTTCATGAAGGTCATCCAGCTGGGGCTGCTACAGTCATGCCTGACAAGATAACAGTGATGAAATCACAAGCTCTTTCTCATCCATATATTCAGGAAGCGCTCCAGTCTGAGTGTCTCAGTGCGCTGCGAGTAGACTTCAGTTAACATCAGTAGAACCGAAAAACTGAATCATCATCGACCAGACTCAGGAAACAGCAGCTCCATTTCAACAAGCTTGGATCATTTGAATACACAGGCTTAGCTGCGATATCTTAGTATAATCTGTTCATGATGAAGTATGGTCACAGGTGACCCAAAATGAACACGTTTCTTACTTACAGACATGGAGAGAGCAGCTGTGTGCAGACGAGCTACAAGACAAAAGAAAGCACTATTAGCACCTGACTTATACCAGTGAACACATTCAGGGAAACCATGTGTATGGATGCTTTACCCATTTACTGCAAACACTTCAGACTTGTTACATGACTGTACAACTTCTCCCTGTGAGAAACTATCACTAAGGTCCCAGATGACTGGGACACTTGTTTCAAACATCTGAAGTATTAAAATGGTAAATGTGTTTTTATGTTTTACATGTGCTCAAGTTTGGAGACTGTTAACCAAGTGCATACTTGAGTATGACTACCTTTACTCAAAGCAATGAAACACAAGCTTTAAGTGTTCTTTGTTGGACAGACCTGAAGAAAGCCCTGCCATGATTTAATGTCTGTAATGTGCAGTAAATGGGCTGCTGTGGGTTTTGTGGTCAGTGCACTGTGAAAACAACTTCATGCTTCTCAGAGACTCTAGTCTATGCAATCATCATCCCACATTAAGGCACAGAACAATGTTTAGAGTCCAGGCTTACCCAGAAGAGCTATGTCCAGCAGATAAAACCATGCTGAGGTGCCTGCAGAGTACAAAGGAGAGTTTTAGAACTAGCTCTGATTGTAGCATTCACATGTTAAGAAGTAAGATGCTGTTCAGTGCACTGTGAAAGAGCTTCATTGTGTATTCAGAGACTCTAGTCTTATGAATCATCATATCAGCATACTACTTCCTCCATCACATTAGAGGATCTTTCTAACACTCACCGTCAGCTCGCAGCTGCAGACTCCACACTGTTCTGCATCTGCTCTTTGCAGCTTTCTGGAAAGCCGAGGATGCAATTTCCAGTCAGTTTAGTTTTTATATGGTAAACGTTCTAGAGCCATAGTCCATCTGCAGAAAGATCTACTTCACAGCGAGGCCTTAGAGCCCTACGATATTTATTTCCAGGGCTTTAATACATTTTTAAATATACCAGCTTCACTGTGCTAGGGCAGGTAACCGCATCTCACCAGCAGAATTACTGTGTACTGCTCTAATTTGCTTGCTTTGTAAAATGGTATTACCTTACCCCAGTTAACTGCTACATATTTGCACTGATTACAATTTAGATGGAAAAAACGCGTATTTCACCTGCTGTGCACCACGTTGTGTCGATGCGGACATGAGCTGTTAGCTGGACAATTTAGCATTTTAATACTGCCCGATTATAAGGCTTTACTCCAGCATAGCCTAAAACTACGGTAAAGTATCTGATTAATAATAGAAGATTACTCATTCCTACTAATAATTTAAATTAAAATCGACACTGAAAACAGAACCTTTGATGTAATACTCACACTCTTCCCCTAACAGCTTCTCCGGAGGTAGACTCTGCAGATTCACTACCCTAACCCCACTTTTTCTGCACAGAAACGAACAGGACCGCAACGAGGCCAGGCTCCTGGCCACGTGCTGAGCACCTGACCCGCGGATCGCGTGCCTCTCGTCCCTCGCGCTCTGCAGCATGACTCTGACCACAGAGCTCTCCGAATAAACCCTCCATTATCAATTCAGAGGTTAATCTGTCTAAATGCTAAAGCCTTGAACATCAGCTCCTCCTCCTCCCACAGCCAGGACCCAAAGGCTGAGCGCGAGCGCGCCCAGGGCTTATATATCCGGGTCCTTCACCGCTACCGGACTTTTGGTGGCCCGAAAAATGCCCGTTTCGGCCTGAATAATGCCTGTTTGGAAGTCAGGCCCCAAAGAAAATGTGAACACTTCATAACGCTGTCAGTTTGTGCAAACAAGCTATGATACACAGATACGATATATTTAAAATACCATACACAAGAGAGCAACGAGATTAAAACAATACACCAAATCTCTCTCTCTCTCTCACACACACACACACACACACACACACACACACACACACACACACACACACACGAAATAAATAAACTTAAAAACGAACAAATAAATAATCACGATGGGTGGGTTAGTCCACGCTGGGTGCACTCTGAGCTTTTTTCCACCTCCTACTCCGTCACATAAGTTCTATCCGATTTCACTGTAAAGTCAATAATGTGTAAAAGGCGAGATGTTCATAATAAGCGAACTTCTTAGGCCACCAATAAAGCTCCGTGAAAGGGCTTTACTGGTGAAAGGAGGTGGGCCTGCTGCACCAAACCTATTTTTCTTAATGAAAATGGCAAACTACAGTGGCACTGTGATTTCATCTGATACCCACACACTAAGAATTAAGTTAGAAACAGGAAGTTTGAGCCATGGTTTGTGTGTATTTGTGTATTCAGCTGTCTGCACTTAAATCTAAACCGTGAAGTAGAAACAAGTTATTCATGTAGTCCATAATGCAGACTTTTACCGAAGAAGAAAAAGACTCAGGTGTAAAAGTCCCACTAACCCTTAACCATGTGACGTGCGGCTATTGTTCACACAGCCAGTGACAGTTGCAGCGACCGAACCGGATTAAACTACAAGTACCACCCATCACCACGTCTGTCTCAGGGTGCCAGGTTCGCTGGGCTTGGCGGGAAAAACGTGCACTTCAGGCCCCGCGCCTGCTCTGTGTTTTACACCTCGTATCTGGCAACGCCTGCAGGTCCTCGCATTGCTGTCGTCACTGAGGTCGGGTAGAAGGAGCGAAGATGGCGACTTGCTACGAGAGATACAATTTGTAAGTAGTGTTCATACGGAACAGCGTAGTGTTTCTGTCTGCGGCTTTTCTGCTCACAGCTCCGGTTAAAGACACATAAGACGAGTGGCTGTCCGTGAGAGGTGAAGCAGCTGCGGGGGCTCAGCGGTGCTGGTGGGGTAGATGACACAGCGGCTGAAGTTTGCTGACAGGCTCGGCCGGCGGAGCAGGAACCAGCCAGGTTTCTCTCCACTCTCATTCATAATGAACACTTAGCCAGTGTCGCTGTGTGGAGCCGGCAGCAGCGAGTGTGGCCGTGGGTGAGAGCGCCGACGGGCGCCTTTGGTGTTCGGGGAGGCTTCATTCACCCAACGAGCTGCTGCACAGCTGCTCCCTCCGGCTTTAGTGGCACTCCACGGCTGGCAGCTCCTCGACGCGTTTTTAGACGTGCAGGGTTTATATTTACTTGTGAATGTCACTCAGCTGTGAGTGAGCCTAACCCTGATAACCGCGGACATGTGACGGTAGCCGTGCGGCAGCTGACAGCTCAGCCCCGGCACACCCTCGATCAAGCCCTTTATTTCAAGTACCCAGCCCTACCGGTCCTGCCTCTGCCTGCAGCGTGTTTTACTTACACGAGTGAAGGTGTTGGGTGCTCCTCAGCCTTTCCCAACACGGAGCAGGTAACGAGGCACAGCTCTGTAGTACGTCACACATGTTAGACAAATGGACCCTCTGAGTTTGGGCCAGTACAGTGAGCACTGGCATAATCTAACTGGGGAAATGCAAAACAAACAAAAACTTTGACAAAGCATCTTTTCAAATAAAGTAAAGACCTAACATTTCTCGGTAATTTGTAAATAATTGTCCAGTTATTGACAATAATGCCAGTTTTTCATTTAACCCTGGAGTGTTTAAGGTGCCTCTGTGTGGCTCTGTGTGCCTCTGTGTGGGTGCACCTTAACCTGATGCATCCCAGCACTGCGGGCCTGCAAGTGTGATTTAGACCAGTCTGCAGTCATGTGTTACTCATCACACGACTGCTCATTCTAACACTGACAAATGCAAAAGTTACCTCAGAACAAAACCGGCTGTTTGAAAACTCGTTTCCTGTTTGGTCCACGCTGTGGTGGGGGGTCAGAGTTCACCCCCCCCCACAGTTAAACTGTCTATTTTCTGTGTTTTCC